TGTGAAGGTAGAAATCAATATATTTTATTGGGAAGAGAGATTTTTTAGGAATTGGGCGGGAAGTTAAAATTTCAGGATTTTGTTATTATATATAGTATAATAATTAGGAATTGGGCGAGAAGTTAAAATTTCATGATTTTGTTATTATATATATAGTATAGATAGATTATTATTATTATTATTATTATTATTATTATTATTATTATTATTATTGACAACTAATTGTACACAAGTAGCTAGGTTTTTCATTGACAAAGTAAACACCTTCATATCATATAAATAAATAAATGGATCTTTCAATGTGTACCCGTAAACGAAAACAAAAAAAAAAAAAAAAAAAACAAAAAAAAACAAAAAAAACAAAAAAACAAAAAAAAACAAAAAAGTTGAAACAAAAATTAATCAAACGTTTAATTATGATAACTTGTACTCCTTGGCTAATATATAGTATAAATAGATTTTTTTTAAAAGGTTCTTACACTTATCACAAAAAAAAAAAAAAAAAAAAAAAAAAAAAAAAATTCAAAGTCTTTGACCATAAAATAAAAATTGTCATGTTTGCGTAGACATATTTAAGAGAATATGTTTCATATACATTGATTCGGCAATATATTTCTCAATTTTGTCCACACTAAATGTATATGAAATAAATATTTTATTTGTTGTATGTGAAACTGATCAGAAATATCCTTGCGTAAAAATCAGAATATACAATAAAGTAGAGAGAGACGAGAATACAGAGAGAAACATCAATCTTTTATTAATCTGTATATACTTATATATATAGTCCGATTCAAGTGAGAACCATCTCTTATATAAGAACCTATGAATTAATTTAAACCATTAAGATTAGAGATTGGACAGCCGAGACGTACCCATGTATTCGCTAAATTAAAATTAACAAACAAATCCATGTTGTAAAGGCAAGAATAAATCAGGAAAGACAATTTGGTCAGTCAACGGGGTCCCCAATGAGTTCAATAGACCTGTTGAACAGAATCGTTGGTTCAATGAAATTACTTAACTGGCGGAGAACCAAATTGGATACGAATTCAATATTTGATGACTTAATTGGGTAAAATTGATAATCAACGACTACTTTGAGAATTATAACATACTCGAGGGACCAAATTGGTCATTTACTCTTTCTAAAGTTATCATCTTCCCTTTTTACTTTTCCATTTATATACAAACGGTAATAATGGAATATTTCGTTAAATATTTATTATTTTTAATAGTAATAATAATAACAACAACAACAACAATAACAACAACAACAATTAAGTTATATTGTACATAAAATGGAACTCGTTTCATTTTTCTCTTCTTTATGGTAATTAAAATATAACTAGTAATTCACCCGCGCGATGCACGGGGGAAAATTATGTTATTATAAATATAAATAAAAAAATAGAAAAAATAAAAATATTTTAAATTGTTTAATATAATAATATTTTTGAGGCTTCCATTGGTCAAGTATTTATTATTTTTATAGAATACAAAATTATAATTAAAATTTTGTATGGTTAATATAATCTCTAATTATGTACATATTCAAATAAACTTATAGAGAGAATTTACATAATTACATTGATTTATTCTTAATTGTATTTCATCTATATTATAATTTTCACAATACGAATAATAACTAAGATAATTACATTTAGAAAGCAAATTTCAAATTTTGTATGAGTAAATTTATACTCTAATTGAACATATTTTTTTATATGATTATATAATATATTCTTTATGCACATGGCATTCAATAAACTAAAATGTCATTTTATAAGTCCAAGACCACTTTTTGTGGAGATAATTCAAATGTATTTTTTTTTCTTTTAAAAGTCCTAAGTTTAGACATCCCAAAAAACATTAAAGACCCATACGATATATACATTTATATATATTTAAATTTTTATTTATGGCTTACATGATTTTTTTTTTTTTTTTAATTCTGAAGTCCAATAATTGACCCACGGCCCGCAACATGTGCTTTCTTCATCCCTTCTCGCTTCTGCCATTCCTTTGAAGCATTTGAGATGGAGAAAAATTATATGTAGAGGCTTGCATTAATTGCACTGTTTCAAATGTTGAATAGACTTTCATCGAAAATTTAATTAATATTGTAATCCCAAGAACCACCATAAATAACAAAAGCATATCAAATAGACTTTCATTGTAAAGCCAGAGATTTAACTAATATTGCATCGTTTCATATTTTCTATTAATCGGGAATCGGAATCCTTAATCCTAATATCATAACATTTAATAATTCCATTAATTCAATAAATGTAATCATTTGTTATGGGCGAGAAAAAAAACAGCTATTTTATTTTTCAAATATTGTGCTTTTTTTTTTTTTTTTTTTTTTAGTAAAAGATGTTGTGGCTATTTTATATTTATAGCTAGTAATAATAATAATGTTGGTAATTAATTATACCATTAATTATTTCCCAACCATATAGCTTTATTATATGTAAGATAATATTTACTTAATTTAACTGTTTCTTTCAACTATTAAAAAAGTAAAACTATTATAATTTGAATCTTTATCCTAAAAGAATATGAATGTCATACTATAACTATTCTAAGTTTTACTAACTCGTCAATATTACATTAAAAAAGCTTAATTTATTTTAATATAAAAAATTTTAGGACATAATTTTTATTCTCGATTATAATTATATACAACAGTACTCATCTTTTTTTTTTTTTTCTTTTTTTGGATCAATCGGAGGGGTATACCCAAGAATATTAGTTCACAAGTGTTACTGACACTCCCCTAGGCGATAGCAACCCTATCTTTACAAATAACGCCGGATGAAGGTACGACGGAGGGATGGTTCATTCCATTGGATCCTGTTTAGGTATGAATGCCTAAGCACTTTCTGCTTTTGTTGCGGTATACTAGGGCACTCTGATAAGTTCTGTAGGAAAGCTTATGCAGAAGGTCTCACTCCAAAGGATTACCCTTATGGTGGGTAGTTGAGGGCAGGAGGGCGGCGACAGGCGTTATCGGTGGGTGCGTCATGGCTCTTAGCTGATCTCCCGGCGGAGCCTGCTTTTGTTGGGGCTGCCTCGTTGTCGGCTATGAGTCATCCCGAACAAATTAAAGCTGGGGTGGTGCTGCATGGGGAAAACAAGCGTAGGCGTGAGGATACCAGCGAAGGTGTAGAGGGGTTTGTGGACACTACTATGGCAGAAGCCTCAAAAAACCTGGTGACGGCGGGTCCGGATGTCCCGGCCCGCCCCTCGACATGAGTGTCCTAAGCTGGAACTGTCGGGGTTTGGGGAGCCCCCGAACAGTTCGGGAACTAATGGACCTTATGTCTAAACAGCAACCCAGTCTGGTTTTTGTCATGGAAACCAGATCTTGTAGCAGGAAGATGGAAGAGGTACGTGTTCGTATGGGCTGGGAGGGGATGCTGGCTGTAGACAGACAGGGTTTGGGAGGTGGTTTGGTTATCTTTTGGAAGGATAAGGATATGGCGGAAGTATTAGATTATTTTGTTAACCATATTGATATGTTAGTAACGATACCGGGAAAGATACCTTGGTGCCTCATGTGCTTTTACGGTTTCCCTGAGAGAGCACGTAGGTAAGCATCATGGGACCTCTTGCGCAGGTTGAAGCCACGTTCCAACCTTCCATGGGTTGTGTTTGGGGATTTTAACGACATGGCAAGTCCTACTGAAAAGAGAGGTTTGATACTACATCCGGATGCGCTGATCTGGGGCTTCAACGACACTTTGTCACAGTGCGAGCTGTTTGATTTGGGGATGGTATGATACCAGTTCACGTGGGAAAAGGGCCGTGGCACAGAGCAATGGGTGGAGGAACGGCTCAATAGGGCCGTGGGCAATTTAGAATGGTGTGAAGCCTTCGCGGATGTTATTGTCTGTGATGTAATGACTCTCACTTCGGACCACAGTGCACTTGTGTTAGACCCTGACGGCCGACCGCTTCGACGAGAGGGGGTTGGGGGGTGGGGGTGGGGAGGCAATATAAGTTTGAGGCCGTATGGCTTCTGGATGAAGAGTGTAAGCGCATTGTGGAGCAGACATGGGTTTTCTCACGGGGCCTGGGCTTCCAGGCGAAGATTAGCAAGTGTGGCAAAGAATTATGGCGGTTGGGGGGTATGTATTTCAGTAAGTTCGGGAGGAGGCTGCAGAGGCTGCGGGGTATTCTGGAGAGGTTGCGGGGTAGTAGGCTAAATGTTGATGTTGCCAGGTTTAGGGAGGTGGAGGGTGAGGTAAACAGGTTGCAGGTTCAGGAAGAAATATTCTGGAGACAACTGTCAAAAAATTTGAGGTTGAAGGAGGGCGATCTAAACACCAAATTCTTCCACAAGTGTGCAACCGCCCGCAAGAAAAACAATGATTTATTAAGGCTACAAAACCAGCAAGTTGAGTGGGTGGACGGAGCTGCCTTGAATGCAGAAATCTTGAGGTATTATACTGAAATTTTCCGTTCTAGTGGTTGTTCAGGGGATTTTTACGGGGCTATTTCGGGGCGTGTAAGCCCAGAATGCAATGATATGTTGCTAAGGCCGGTAGAGCCGAATGAGGTGAAAGAGGCCTTGTTGTCGATGGCGCCTGATAAGGCTCCGGGACCGGACGGTATGACACCGTCTTTCTATCAGTCGTTCTGGACAGTTGTTGGTTGGGACTTAATTGATTTTGTTAAAGCATGTTTTGAGAATTGCAGGTTGCCCCCGGGTATGAACGATACTAATGTAGTCTTAATACCGAAGAAGAAGGTTCCTGTTAAAGTTTTTGACTTACGGCCCATTGCTCTATGCAATGTAGCCTATAAGGTGTTCGCCAAGGTTGTGGCGAACCGCATGAAATTTGTTCTTGACTCTATTATTTCGTCGACGTAGATCGCATTTGTCCCTAATCGGCTCATAACTGACAATACTGTAGTAGCAGGGGAAGTGGGGCATTAGTTAAGGAGAAAGAAGGATGGGATTGTGGGTTGGGGAAACACTGAAATTGGACATGGCGAAGGCTTACGATAGGATGGAATGGGGGTTCTTAGAGGGTATGTTACTAGCGCTTGGATTCACCCGTGGGTGGGTTGATCTGGTGTTGGTATGTGTGTCCTCTGTTAGGTACAACGTCATGGTTAACGGGGAGGCTGCAGGTACGGTATGTCCTACAATGGGTATCCGACAAGGTAACCCCTTGTCGCCTTATTTATTTATAATATGTGTAGAAGGCTTATCTCTTTTGTTGCAGCGTAAGGAGAGCCAAGGGTTGTTACACGGTGTGAAGGTGGCCCGAGGTGCACCCCCGGTGTCACATTTGTTTTTCGCTAACGATAGCCTCCTTTTCTTTAAGGCGACTGACGTTGAGGCTCAAGCTGTGCGGGAATGTCTTGACCGGTACGGGCAAGCCTTGGGGCAATTAGTCAATTTTGACAAGTCAAGCATAATGTATAGCACAAATACCATGTCTGGGGTGAGGGATCGTGTGGGCGCGTCCTTTGGGGTTCAGGAGGTAGAAGGTTTCGGCAGGTATTTGGGTTTACCATCATTTCTTGGTAGGAATAGAACATCAGTTTTTCGTTATATTGAACAGAAGGTGAGGGAGAGGGTCAGTTCTTGGCAGAAAAAATTACTTTCCCGTGTTGGGAAAGAGGTTCTGCTCAAGAGTGTTGCGCAGGCAATGCCAATTTTATCTATGTCTGTGTTTCTACTTCCTACAGTTATATGTGCTTCAATTGAGAATATGATGAACAGGTTTTGGTGGCAGCATGGTGGGGCTACGAGACGTGGACTCCATTGGTTGAGTTGGAGGTGTATGGCTTTACCAAAATCCTGTGGTAGTATGGGTTTTAAGCGTCTGCGTGAGTTTAATGTGGCACTATTGGCGAAACAAGTTTGGCGCATTCTTACCGCACCTGAATCTTTGACGACTAGAGTGTTAAAAGCCAGGTACTTCTTCCCTAATGACTGTTTTTTAAAAGCTAGGCTTGGTTCCAATCCTAGTTATATTTGGCGTAGCATCCTAGCGGGGCAAGATTTGCTTCGCAAAGGGGTTGTGCGCAGGGTTGGTGATGGTGCTGATACTTTGATTTAGGAATGGCCTTGGTTAGTGGATGCTGCGGATTCAAGCCTAGAAACTGGCTATATAGATGAGCTGCGGGAAGCCCGTGTAAGCAATCTCATAAATGCGGATGGCGAGTGGGATGTGGATGTGGTAAATGACTTATTTACGGCCAATGATGTTGCACGTATTCTGCGTACGCCAGTCTTGGTTCACTGCTGAGATAGCTGGTGTTGGAAGGGCGACATAAAAGGTCAGTATACGGTAAAAAATGGGTACTATTTGTTGACAAAGCATGGTGCAATTTAAGAGCCTATGTTGGATTTTACCGAGTGGAACCGGTTATGGAGTTTACCAATACCGCCAAAACTAAAGAACTTTCTGTGGCGTTGTCTACGTGATATTCTGCCGGTGCGTGATGTGTTACGTACCAAGCATGTGTTCATTGGGCCAGGGGTGGCTGCCCGTTGTGTTCGTCGTCCAATGAGACGATCACTCACTTATTAACTCTTTGTAATGTGGCCAAGCAGGTTTTCAGGTGTGGTGATGTCTTGCAAGGGTAGTCTTTTGTGCACTACATTGAGACCACCTTGCGTTTGGCGGATAAGGAAGCGCCTGTGCGTATGGCAGCCAGATTTTGGGTGATTTGGAGGGTACGAAATGATCTAGTGTGGCATGCGAAGGTGTGGACTGTGGAAGCCATGCACTGTGCGGTTAACTCGTTGTTGGAAGATTGGCGCGGGTTGAGAACTACATTCATGGCAGTGACGAGCCAATGTCCAGGCACGCACCAATGGACTCGGCCAACGCCTGGAGTGCTCTCATGTACAGTTGGCGCTGCGTTAAGGGCTGGTGTGGCATCATATGGTGCCATAATCCGGGACCATGATGGCTCCTTCGTGGCGTCACGGAGCGGACTGCTTCTGTGTGGCAATGACCCGTACTTGGCGGAAGCATTAGCAGTGAAGGAAGCTTTGAATTGGATTAAACATCGTCCCACATCTACTTACGTTTTAGAGTCTGATTGTTTAAACTTTTGCACTAGTTTCAATTCTGTAAAACATGATTTCTCTTATGTTGGTTTAGTGGTTAAGCAGTGTCGTATGACTGCTAGTGTCATGGGGAACGTTTTGGTTCGCCATGTCAGAAGGTCAACGAATCAGGTCGCTCACACGCTTGCGGTAGCGGCTGGTTCATCGTCTGTCCTTGGAGGGTGGCATCTGGCCCCTCCTGATTGTATTGCGGAGTTGCTTTAATGTATCAGTTTGGCTTTTGGTTTAAAAAAAAAACTACTTTTATTATAAGTTGAAAATAATCATTTTGATTACATTGAAAAAATCATTTTTATTTTATATTACTTAACTTTTATATTTAAACTTGTACTAAATATTTAATTATTTTAATTTTCGTATTGGACATTAATTTAATCGCACAATGCACGCATTATAACTAGTTAGTTTAATAAGAAGCCAATTTAGCTACCACAATCTATTAAATTCATTTTTGACAACCCATCAGAGGTGATAGAAAATACAAACCATTACTAATCGTACTTGAAAAAGGTCTCGATCAAGTCTATTACACACGGTCTTCCTAGTGCAATTTTTCTTTACTGTGTGATTTACGGGCTACAATGTAAAAACGGAGTTTACCTATGCACACCATCACATAGGGAATCTCTTTCCTTTTTTGAGTGGTTGGAAAATGTTGGCGGTCGAGAATGGGTGTTTTTTTAGCAATATAAATCGGTAGAGCTCCCACTCATCCTTAAATTAATTAAGAATCCAATATAGGTAAGTCTACTTAACTGGTTTTAATTATTAGTGTACATCATCAAGACATATATAGTATTATATAATCACAAACAAAGACCCACATGGAAAAACAAAATAACAAGAAATTAAGGAAGTTGAAGGTAGAACATCTAACTCAGAAATTAGGAACAGTTTGATGTCCCATCCACCTCGGACTGCACTCTTATCTTGTGGTTGAAACTACACAGCGCCATAATTGGAAAATAATGCATGGTAGCTCTGACTAATTCTCATACTCATCACCAAGTCTGCATTCTAATTTTGTTAATTATTTCGTTAATAAAAATAAAAAAAAAAAAAAAAAAAGCAAGAAGCAATCTAAGATAGTGGTCTAGTGGATAAGCAACTGCATTTTGTTTGTGTAGTATTGATTTTGTTACAATGTAATATCTGTTCATATCTATTTTCTCAACTTATTGAAGCTCTCACTAGGGCTCAAAACCCATGACCTCCAACTTAAGAAAGTCACTTACTTCATTTCACTAGACTACAGGGTCATTGGCAATAAACAACTGCATTTAAAATTTTATTTTTGGCGATAAGATGGAGGTTTGAACCCTGTCACAAACAAGCTTTTTGTGCGTGGAAGGGTACAATAATTTGGTGTTTACCTCTTCATAGACATAGGGACAAGTTCATGGGGTTCATGATATAGTCTGGCGAAAAAAAAAAAAAAAAAAAAAAAAAAACAAGTAGCGGTGTAGGGTGCTTTTCACTTCATTTAAGTGCTTTAAAATCCTGCTAAATTACAACTATGTCTTGAAAAAAGATTGTGGATCCATCAATATAATGGTTAGGTATTAGTAGGACTCATCACTCCTCTAACCATATATAGCTACATGACCCAAGTGGGTAAAGTGGCCATAGTTTGATTTACAATAAGTTATTAACTAGTTAATTACAAACTGTTATTTATATATGTTTAATTTTTAAGAGTTGCGTCAAGTAGTGAATTAATCCATTAATCTGTTTAGGGTTTTAAATGCTGAATTAGTGAGTACTGCTAATGGTGGATTGGTGGGGACGTGGGGTTATTAGTTGGAAAGTTAGTTTTTTTTTTTTTTTTTTTAATTGAAAAAAAAAGAGGTTCTAAGCAAGATTTTCAAATAACCAATTCAATAAGGTCAAGTTATGTTGGTTTTTTATCAGACATTATAGTTAGATGATCAATATTAAATTATTAAAATGTAAATTTTTAGATATGAGTAATGATATTCACCCCTCTAAAATTTTCTTAGATGTTTAATATTAAATTATCAAAATGTAAAATTTTAGATATGAGTAACTCGATATTAATCCCTCCAAAATTTTTTTAAATACTGTCATGTTAAAATGATAAATTTAGAATGAATATGGTTTTTATTTTTTGGATGCTACTGGCTCTACTACATTGTAGTATGTGTTCATATACTTTCTCAAGCTACACCTACTGAAATACAAAGAACCAATAACGCTTTCACTGAGGCACGAATTCACAACCTTCCAAATGGAAGTCCAACTCGAGTATCATTAGACCACATAGTCCTGGAAAGAAACCACCAGAAGAAATAAAAAAGATTTGAAAGAAAAGAAAGAAAATCCAGCTAAGAGAGCGTTGTGTGACATGAAACAAACTTGTTCATTTAATACTCCCATCTGCCTTTCATTAAATTGTTTATCAAACTTCTCACTTTTTTTTATGACTCACAAGCTAAACTTATAGCTTAGAGAGTATGCACCACATAAATTCGTCTTATGACCCAACAAAAAATAAGATTAAATAATCTAAATTATTTGATCAATTAAATTAAGAAGACCAATAAATCACTTTCACTAAAAATCAAACTTAAAATCTTCTATTACCCAGCTAACAGTATGATCAACTTGGCTAGAGTTGCTATGTCTTCTCTCTTTTACTCTTTATATAATCTCTTCCCCAGCTCCCACGTACTATCCTATACACTCCCTTTCTCTCTTCTATATCTGATCTTCTTCCTCTCTGTATGTACTTTCCATCTTCACAACCGCACCAGTACAGTGAGAGAGTGAAAGAAGAGTAATTAATGGCGGAAGAAAGCTCGCCGGGGTTCAATAACAGATCATCGGTGAAGTTGAAGTACGTGAAGTTGGGGTACCAGTACCTGGTAAACCACATTCTAACGTTGTTGCTAGTCCCTGTAATGGCGGGAGTGACGATCGAGGTTTTAAGGTTTGGTCCGGAGGAGATTGTGATGAGGATTAAGGATTCTGTGATGAGCTTGGAGCTTATCCATGTTCTGTTTTCCTCCTTGTTCCTCGTCTTCGTCGCCACTCTCTACTTGATGTCCAAGCCGCGCTCCATCTACCTGGTGGATTACGCCTGCTACAAGCCGCCGGTGACCTGCCGAGTCCCGTTCTCGACTTTCATGGAGCATTCGAGGTTGAATTTGAAGGATAATCCGAAGAGCGTGGAGTTTCAAATGCGGATCCTGGAGCGCTCCGGCCTCGGCGAGGAAACCTGTCTGCCGGCGGCGATTCATTACATCCCTCCCAAGCCGACAATGGACGCCGCCAGAGGGGAAGCGGAGGAGGTTATCTTCTCCGCCATTGATGCTCTGATGAAGAAGACGGAGCTGAAGGCGAAAGACATCGATATTCTGATCGTGAACTGTAGCTTGTTCTCGCCGACGCCGTCTTTGTCGGCGATGGTGGTTAATAAGTACAAGCTGAGGAGTAATATCAAAAGCTATAATCTCTCCGGCATGGGGTGCAGCGCCGGCCTGATCTCGATCGATCTCGCACGTGACCTCCTGCACGTGCACCCCAATTCTAACGCGCTGGTGGTTAGCACAGAGATTATTACGCCCAACTATTACAAAGGATCGGAGAGAGCTATGCTCCTCCCTAACTGCCTCTTCAGAATGGGCGGCGCCGCCATTCTCGTGTCCAACAAGAGGCGCGATTCGGGTCGGGCCAAGTACCGGCTCATGCACGTGGTCCGCACGCACAAGGGCTCCGACGACAAAGCCTACCGTTGCGTTTATGAGCAGGAAGATCCGCAAGGGAAAGTCGGAATCAACCTCTCCAAAGACCTAATGGTGATCGCTGGCGAGGCGCTCAAATCCAACATAACTACAATCGGTCCGCTCGTTCTCCCGGCGTCGGAGCAGCTCCTCTTCCTCTTCACCCTAATCGGTCGGAAAATCTTCAATCCCAAATGGAAACCCTACATTCCCGACTTCAAACAGGCCTTTGAACACT